GAGAGAGAGAGAGATATGGAAGCGAGGTATTCCGCAGTAGAAACGGTCTACATGTGGTCAGACGTTGCTGCCTTCTGGCGCGAGAAAATACATATGAGGCAAAAACTTGTGAAAGCTTAAGTCACATATTTGAATTAGATAGTTTCTGCACATCCGAATTACGTCATTAAAATACTTATTTTATTGAGAAACTCATTTTTTTACAAAATTGTAAAAAATATTTACATAAATACAATAATAATTGTAGCACGATATTATGTATTCGGTCAAGAAATATTAAATATCACGTTATTCTTTCACGTTATTCTTTCTATTCGTGCGTGTATAAAAAAAAATAATTATACTTATTTGCCCACATTTTTCTCGTCGTAAAAGAAAAACGAACTTTACCATAGGTGGCTATGACGTCTGTTACAGAATCTGCTATTCTATTATGAGAACGAAACTTGCTCACGACCCAGTGGCGTCGTTCTGCTGGAAGGCTGTTATTGCAATCGACTCATCACTGCTAAAGGCAAAGAACCAGATAAACAGGTACGCAACGTGTTACCTTCGTAGGCATGAATTCTCTCGCAAAGAGTGCACTCCGCGCGCGAACAAGATGAAAGAATTTTGATGAATTAAACGCATTTTACTTCCATTTCCGCTTTAACATAGCATATATGCTTCTGTTCTACTGCAATATTATGGACGTACCAATAGAAATTGCATATGAAACTGTCGAGTTGTTAAAGTTTTCAAGCTTTTTCTAAACCCGAAGTTATATTCTTCAACAAACACGAGCGAAAGTTGTTCCGAGTTGTATATTTATGCCACAGAAAACAATTTTCATCACACGCATCAGTTAACTTTTTTTCTCTTACTTTTTCTAAGATAAAACCACGAAAATAATTATAGGAGGCAACACAAAATAATACAGTTTTCTATCTTCATTTATTTTACATGAATTTAAATGCGTAATAGATAATTTAATAGCGGTATGTTAATGTATTTAAATGTCAAAGGCTAATATGTCGGTTGTACACATGTATTTTAATTTAAAGAACACGCTGCTTTTAACCTGCGCGGATGGGGACCGTGTTTTTCTATGAAATTTAATTGTATTGCGTTATCGATATTTGGAAAAATTGTGAACGATTTTTGCAACAGACATGTGCAGAGAATTTTTTTTTGCGACACGAAAATTTTCAAAACGAACTCGAATTTATAAAATAAATTCCTCGAAATATCCTTGACCTGGGGTGGAATTCTCTATAGGATTACAATCAAACGTCGCAATTATCTACTAAATGCGATCGTTTGATTTAATGTCCTTTTTATTCGCTATTGAACTCGCTTAATACCGGACTCGGAATCAGAAAGTCTGCATTAAAGCCAAGTAGATGAGGTCGCTATCTTTTTTGATTTATAAATATAACAACAAAATGTTCTTAGTTCACTTTTCATGATCTTAGTATTATAAATTTTAAATTATTACCTCTTGTAAAAATCCGGACGGATGATACCTCCTTCAAACTTTCATATATACAAAATCCTTGAGAAACGAGCATATTTATTAAACAAATGAATTCGTAATGCGCCAAGCAATTAAAATGTTCGTCTACGACGTATGGACGCATAAGATAATAAGGATAGAGCGTATCGATTTCTGCAAAGGTCACGTGATGTTGGCTGGCTTTCCCGCTTTTTCTAAAGATATATCGGCCGTTCAGTTATTTTCTTTTGGTCTCCTAGACAAGGAGGAAACTGTTTTTTTTTCCTTATTTCCACTTTCGTTGCGGCCGATAAATCGATCGCACACGCGCATGTGTTGCGAAAAATAATGCGTAACTTTAACGGCCGCTTTAACAACCTCGACTACTTCGTTTAGCAACGCAATTATCACCGACTAGAGCTGCAAAGCATACCAAATGAATCTCGTGGTCATTTCGCTTCGCAGAAGTCATTTTTGTTCTTCGTTCGGTTAAAAACCCATTTTTAATGATGCTTTTATTCGAAGCTTTTATTGAAGAGGAAAAACGTATGGTTATAAATATTATTCTAAGAGTCATTCGTATCACATTGTAAATATAACACAATCGGAATCGTAAGATTGAATACATAATGTTAATATTACTGTCTATTTAAAATAAATAAAATAAATCAAATATTTTAACAAAATATTTAAGGAAAAGTTTTTAATATTTATCAAAAGAGAAATATACCGAGCGTTTTACCGAAATATTTTCAGTTAAATTTTATCATCTTTCTGTTTCGTTTAATTCAATTTTTTTCAGTCAATCGTTGATTAAAGTAAAAATATTTACTCGCTTCTTAATGCGCGGCACGCACAGTCGAAATTGATTTGCAGCGAGAGAAAGAGCGTCGGAGTCGGCGTCGGTCTCGACGACGTTCGCGTCACGTTGCATCCATTGCGAGAACGACGACGACGTCCCTTCCTCTCTTGCGTCCGTACGAGTCTCTACTCGTCGTCCCGTTTTACAACCATTGTCTATCGGTGACATCGTGAGCCTCCTACGAGATGCAGCGACGCGAGATATCCGCGGGTCCAGTTACATATGCGTCCCTTTCCCGCGGAAAGGGACGTCCTTCTTCCCGATTCGTCTTTTTTGCAGCTGACGCAGCGGAAAACGTGTTTATACTTGGCAAACTTGGTAAATTAATTAATTAAGAAACGACGGTCGTTGTTTGTGAATAAAGTGGCTTGTGCGTCGCGGCTTGACGCGACGAGACAAGATTATCCGATACGCCGCGCATTTCTTCTTCGCGATTCTCTCGTGCTCGATTGGAGACTCGTCTTGTATCTTAGGAAGGCACTTTATTTATCTTCTAATAGGAGTACGCCGTGCATTTCTTTCGAAGGTATACAGGTCAGATAAAGTAATACGTTTGTGTGTTATGCAAGAGTACAATTATAACTGAGTGTCAATCGGATGACATTCACGTGGAATGTTCACTTATTGAAGCGTTCGCATAGAATCGACGATGAGTTATCGACTTGTTCTTTCGCAATCATCTGCTCCAGTTCAGGGCATTTTACGATACAAGCAGATACAAGTTAATTATCAAATCAACGAGCAATCTCTCTAAACAATTAAAGCTGTCGGTTGCAATAATATTTTATGTTTTTCATGCGCATATATAAAAAAAGAATTATTTTTATATATTGTTCATACATTTTATGTTGCACGAATAACTGTTTGCCGATGCGTAAGCTGCACGGATCGAAGGGATATCCATATATTCTATATAAACGTTTATTCTATATAACGTAAATGTTTTTTACGTTATTGCGTGAGCGAAAATGTTTTGCTGTAAAATGTTGTTGGATTTAGCGCGATCGAGACAACAGGACACAGATAAACATACACGTTGAATAAGGGAATCGTAAAAAATACGCATTTCAACGAATATTTGGTTGCCGTTGACGAATTCGTACGTGGAAATCGAGGGAATATATATTTTCGTTCGAACGCTCTGACGGTCTATTAACTGCATATTTATCCAGAAT